AGTGCTTGATTAGTCTTCCTCTTTGTTCTTCCATTTATCTTGGCTTTGAGTATCGAAAGTCTATGCGTCATAGGGAAATGGAAAAAACTGAAAACATTAGCATTACATTTTGAAAAGTATCTGATGAGTAAGAGGTAGTCTATCATTCCCTCAGTTCATTATTCATTAATTCATGCAATAAATATTTATTTAGTAAGCACCATGACCAGAAACTGCTTCCATGACTAGATAAAGATTTTTGACAGGGAGTTAGAGACAAAGATGGACTGAGCAGACACTGTGGGTCCCAGAGGAAAAGGGGTCTTTGTACCCTATACCTTGGGCTGAGCTGCGGAGTTGGGGGAGAACAGAAGAAACCCTAGATAAGTTTGGGGGAGTCAGTAACAGAGAAGATGTGCATCTCATTTCCCTGATAGAACCCAGGGAGCCAGTAACATCCAGAGGTGAAATGGTAGTGAGGTGTGTTTAGCCAGTGACAGTCTGGAAGAGATTCTGTGCGCCAGCAAGCTGCAAGAGCAGCAGGATGTGCCCAAGAAAGGGATAGAAATAGACAAGTCCTGGATAGTCCCACAGGGGGAACCATGGCCAAGCTGGGAGAGGATGGGGCAGAACGATCTCCTCATCATCACGTGAGCCCACTAGGGACTTGCAAGCAACTGAGAAAGAGTTAGACCCAATGAAGACTTGTGGTTAAGACTGAGATGCAATTCAGGAGTTACCTGCAAAGACTGATGATGGAAGGGCAAATGGAGACGTGGAGGTTGTAGCTGAAACTAATGAGGAGGGATGATGACCCTAAGGACTAGACACTTCCTCCCTCCTCACTCCCACTCCTTACAACTCAGCATTATATTTCTCCCTGGAACTTGAGTAAAATGTTGGGAGAAAATAAATAAAATCCTAAGTTTATTGAAATTATATTTCTAGCACACAGTAAAAGAGATGAATAATATAATGTAAGTTGAGTTAGAGAAAAATACAGACAGCTTTATTTCTTGCACTTCTGAGTATGTAAGCTGAGATTTGTAAGCACTATAGCCCACTAGGAGGTAGTGGGATTCAGAGAAGGCTTCCTGGGGGAGGGGATTTCTGAACTGGGATGTAAAGAGTGAATAGAAATGGGCCGGATGAACAAAGATATTAGCAGGAATTGCAAAGTGCCCAAGGCAAGGTATTCCCTGTAGAAGGAAAAGGTTTCTCAAAGGCCCCTGGTCTCAAATAACAAGGGGTGTGCACTAGGAGCGTTATCAGTTTGGCATTTGTGGAAATTGAATACAAAGAGTGAAGAGACTGACAGGTAAGCCAGGTGGGAACAGGTCAAAGTGGACCATTCTACTATGCTAAAGGAGTGGTTTATTTTTCACCAAACTTCATGTATTGTACTTTGTTTTATCAATCTATGGTCTATCAAAGAAAAAATAATTTTCCATGATTAAGTGTCAGTACTGACAAGTCTGATTTCATGATTTAACTTTCAAAACAGAATGAAATAACATATCATCAATTATATCTTCTAAACTAGAATGTGTTATTGAGCATCTTTCTAACAAAAACTCAAGACCACTGGCCTTCCTCCTTGCAGCCTGCCTAAAATATTTTTACACAGTTCTCGATGATGTCTGTTCTAGATTATGTATTTGTCACTTGGAATTTGTAATTGGTTACACATGCTTATTATTGTAAAATCTCTGGCAAATAAAACTCTCTTCTTAAACAATTTCTACCCAGAGTATCTGGATTTATTTTACAGCAATAAGGAGTAATGAAGTTATTTATTTATTTATTTATTTTTTTGAGACAGAGTCT